ACCGCTGTGAACTCCCAACAGCCACCCCTACATATATCCCTGGGCATTTAAAGCTTTATCTGAAATATTTCCTAACATTTTTAATATCAGGTGAATGCAGGTTAACTAAGAATTTTTTTAGTTAACCATTAAGCCTGACAGCCTCATAAAGCTTCACATTTCTTCGTGTGCTACATTAGGAGGATTAAGAAAAATGCTATGTTCAAATACATTTAATAAACAACTTTCCTGAATGCATTTATTTATTCCTTTATTTATAAATAAATAAGGTAACTCCGGGAAGCTTACAATCACAACTAATTGTTTACTATTAGGGTGACTAATGTTTCTGTAATTAAATTGAAAACAGGGGATAATGAATACCCTGTTCAATACCTTTATAAATATAATTTTACTAAATCTAAATTACGGTGCCTTTTTAAATTATATTTTTAAAATATCTGGGTCCAAACCTGAATTTAATATAAACAAAGAACATGAGAAAGTTCAACTTACTGTACTTGCTCATTTGCTAGAATTACAATCCAATAAATGGATAACTAGTTTTTCAGGAATATCATTTTTTTAAAAAAAAATCATCAAATTCATCAGCTTTCTTAAACATACAATTCCAAAAATAATGCACACCATGACAGTTAAACATAATTAAGCCTATACTATGGATATAACCAAATACATATCAGCATCATTATCTAAGTTTTAAGAATTCAGATACTCATATTTTCTCACTTCCAACAACACGATCACTGTCACTCTTATATTGTAAGCTCGAAACTGAAAACTACAACTGTACTGAAGGATGCATTTTCATACTACCAACGGTAAATTGTACTAATTTTAAAATAACCTTTTCATGTAGCAAAGAATACTACTAAATATTCTCAACCTACATACAATACTATCAAAACATGAACTATGGTAAATAGTTGTATTTCAGGCAAAGTGTACTAACGTTTATATTTTAGGAATCTTCAGAATTCCTAGAAACTCTGCTCAAAAATCAGTATTCTTCAATTTCCTATTGAGGAGTTTCATCTCATAGGTGGCATAAATGCGACAATCTCCATATGTTTCAACAGTTAAACTACATCATCAGGTCAACCTATATATTTAAAGTTAAATTTGACAATCGGCACTTCATTCATAGCAATGAAGCAGACACGAACACAGACTAAATGCTTTTCATTGTAATATTCTATAGATAGTGAATGTCTGTTTAACATATTCAATAATAAAAGCTTTATTATTATTATTATTCCAACTTAAATACTGGAACAAAGAATTGAAATCTGACATTATTGCAAAACACTTTTTGTAATAATACAACAATTGTATCTAATTATTGTAATAAGTCTAATACAAATCCAAAACACTTTTTTCAAAACAAATCGCAAACTTAAAAACAAAAATCAGTAGGCTAAAACACAGCTGACCTTGTAGAGAAAGTGGCACAAAGTAGAGGAAAATCAGCAGCAAAAACACATACCAATAGGTTAAAAGCAAGCCTACACTGTATATAGTTGATGAATATGGTCGACTGGTTTAAGCTGCAACCCATGCAAATATTTGAAAGAAAGTCTCATTTAGTGAAGTAAAACTTACATGCGCAAGAATCTATAACCCTACAATTTTCTGCAATTTGTAGAAACGTTCTTCCAAGTCAGACCTATATAAATGGCTCTAATAAAAGTGAACAATTTTTCATTTTCTGCATAAACATTAAAATGTGCCAGATTCCCCCCAGTCTTTCTAAAATAGGAACATCACAACTGTATAAGCAAGAAGAAATGATGGCAGGTAGAATTAAAAACAGTACAATGACATCACTTTCCAGAACACTGAAACTGAGAAATATCTCCCACTAAAATCAGCTGCTCTCCTTTCCAAATTCAGTAAGCTAGTGCAAGCTTTTTAAGGATCTTATCTCCTTTGTAACAAATTTACACCAAGTGTTGTACATTAAATATATGAAAATAATTTTTTAAAAGCTATCGTCTTTATAACTAATTCTCAACTCCCCAATCATGCTTGCCAACCTGACAAATGTGAACGATGGATCTGATCATTAACCTAATGTAGCTCTCATATTTTTAAAACAATTACAGGTAGTCCTCAACTTATGACTACAAGGGAGCCCAAAATGTATGTTGTTAGGTGAAAAATTTGCTAAGAGAACTTATGTTGCTAAGTGAAACATTTGTTAAGAGAACTTGTCCCATTTTATGACTTTTCTTGCCACATTTGTTAAGTGAATCACTGCAGTTGTTAAATTAGTAATGTGATTGTTAAATGAATCTAGGCTGTCCACTGATTTTGCTTGTCAGAAAGTCACAAAATGACTCCTGAACACCGCCACTGTCATAAATATGAGTCAGTTGTCGAGCATCCGAATATAAATCACATGACCCCTGGGATGCTGCAATGGTCACAAGTGTGAAAAATGGTCAAAAGCAGGGGTGACTTTCTACCGGTTCTGTCCACCTCTGTAGAACCGGTAGCTCTGAAGAGCAGCAGACATAGAACCTGTTCTATGTCTGCTGATGTTTTTGTCCACCCGCCCACCCGGGCTCTTACCTGATCTTTATTTCCTGATTTTCCAACTTCAGCTGCCAAACAAGGCACAGCTGCAGTTAAAAAGACAAGAAAAGAGGGCTGTTTCAAAGGCTTCTTCTTGGGGCAGGGAAGCTCGTAAATCCCAAACCAGCAGTTAACCCTTTCGTATCCCACCCCTGGTCATAAGTCATTTTTTTAAGTGTCACTGTAATGTCAAATGGTCACTAAATGAACTGCTGTAAGTTGAGGACTACCTGTATACAAAAACATAGTGAAAAACAACTGTAACTAAAAAGGCTGCCAGATCCAAAGTATTCTGGCCCAAATTTGTTCACTGCACCCAGGGGATACAAAATCCAAAGCAATATTATCCAGAACATCTGACAATGCCTTACCTGAACAGGGACCATGAGATTTAGGACAGAGCACTTTGTAAAGCAGGGGTGTCAAACTTGCGGCCCGCTGGCCGGATGCGTCATGTGCTGGCCCCACTCCCATCCAGTTTAGCAAAGGGGGGGGGGGGAGTCCCGACACCACCGAGTTTGACACCCCTATTGTAAAGGGGTTTATCACAGGAAAGGGAGGGGGGAGCAGCAAAGCTGCAGCACCTGTTCACAAATAATCCAGTGAGGGTCACTGCAAAACTAAAGCCATCCTCACAGGGGCCCATTCCCAGGCCTTTGTCCTCTGCTTACCCAGATGTCCTGATAATCTGCAGCTTTCAAACATACCTGTACAATAATCATTACAAAACTCATTTCCCCTCCTAGCGAAGCGGAGGGCGAGAGACGTTTAGCAGGAAACCTAAGATGCTACGGAGTAGCTCAGCACCATGGGACTCCAGATGCTGGAATGCAACTCTCCTGCTGCTTGGGAGTTCACCCCCGACATCTGGACAAACATCCTCCCTCCCTCCATTTGTAAGGGAAGAGAAGCCACACGTTTTCTACCCTCTTCGTCGGTCAACGTCTCTCTACACACTAACGTCACGCAGAATTAATTCACGGGGGGGGGGGTTGGTATTCTTCCATTCCCCCCACCCCACCCCGCCCCTAGTCACGGCGGGTGTGTCTTTATTAAGTGTGGACTTTCCTGAGGCGCGGAGCGAAGCTGTTCGCCTTCTCGGAGCCGCGCTCTTCTCCTCCTCCCGGGCGCCGTGACTCACCTGCTCTCTGCGCACCCGGCCTGGTCCTCCCCGCCGTCGGTCCCGCCGTCGCTTCCGCCGCCGCCGCCGCCCTGGGCGGAGAGGGGGGGAGAGGGCGAGGGGGGAGTCCGTCCTCCCGGGCCTAAAAGTCGAGCCACACGGGGAGGAAAAAAAGGAGCGCGGCTCGCTCCGAGGGAAGAGACCACCCCGACGGCGGCCGCCCGCTGATCCTGTTCGCCGCGGAGGCCAACCGGAGGGGCGGGGGGGGGCGGGGAGAAGGGGAGGGAAAAGAGCCGGCCCAAATCGCCCCGAATGCGTCTGCGCGACCAACCTCCTCTTCTCCACACACAGCCCCCCCCCCGCACTTTGGTTTTCTACCACTTCCGGCGCAAGGCGAAACGCCGGAAGCCGCGGCGCAGGCTTTTGACGTAAATGTCAATCAATAAAGGAGAATATTTGTAGCTCGGGGTTGAAATGTGGGGTCCTTGGCGGTCTCTTCCGTTGGCTTGTTTTCTTGCGGACGTTACGTTACCCAAACTAGGTAAACTCTTAGTTTGACGTTACTTAGTTTGGAGTAATGAAACGTCTGCAAGGAAACAAGCCAGCTCAGAGAGCGCCAGGGACCCCCCTCAAGTAAAACGTCAATGCCAAACGTAAAGGCGTTTGAAAGTACGTCATGGCGGGTGCTTCTGGCCTAGCAGTTGGCCGAATTTCATCTCCTCCGGGTTTTTCTTTAGTACTAAAAAATCTCCCGGAGGACTTTCGCCATATAGGTGACCCCAGACCTGACCGCCTTCGCGGCCGCGGCCATTGAAAACAGTCGCCAGACCTGAATCCTTTTATCTACCTTGTGGGATATAAAAAGCCCTCATGGTTCTGCGTGCATTAACCGCAGCAAGAGAAAAGGAGCGCTCCCTCCGAGCGGCGGAACTGACCCACGAATGATAGCATTCTTATATTTTCCCTTCTCCCTTCGGATGTGGAAGCAAAAGGCTCTCTTCACGATTCCGCTCTATGGGCGCCAAAAAAAAAGTGGGGGGGAAGTGCCGCTCTAGCTCTCTTATCTCACTGGTAAAAAACCCCGAGTGGTTTGATTTCTAGAAACTCCGGAGTGAAAAAAATCACGGCTCGGCTTTCGGAAGAGACCGCGCGCTCGCGACTTATACAGGCGAAGCGCCCCGAACCCTCTGCCGTCCCCTTCAAGCTCGAGCGGCAACCGCTCCTTTTCCCGCCAAAAGCGCTGGGCCTTGGCTGGAGGGGCGTGGGGTGTGTGTGTTTGTGTGGAAACTACCGAACAGGCCAGGACTACATTATCCAGGCTGCAGTGTGCTCGCGTTCACGTGACCCTCCCGGCTTGCTTGGTGGGTCCTTCCTTCCCACCAGATGGGAAAATGGCAGGACTGAGCCCTGGGGATCGCTGGGCCGAAGGTAAGGCTCCCGCGCCGATGACGCGGGCCGCAGCCCTGGGGGTGGTGGTGGAGAAACAGCCGGATTAGGGGGCTTAAATCTTATTAAGAGCTCAGGTTACCCAGAGAAGAGAGCCTTGTGGGACATCACAGACGGACCAAATCCCATATTGTGGCTCCAGCTTTTTAATCAGAGGGATGGATACGGGGACACTTTTCAAATGAGAAATGCAAGTGGGAAGAAAGGAAAACAGATAACAGTTCATCAGAGTTGGAAGGGACCTTGTAGGTCATCTAGTCCAACCCCCCACCCCAGCGGGAGACCCTACATCATTTCTAACAAATGGCAGTCCAATCTCTTCTTGAAAGCCTCCAGTGATGGCGCTCCCACATCTTCTGAGGGCAACTTCTGTTCCATTGGTTGATTGTTCTCACTGTCGGAACGTTTCTCCTTATTTCCAGGTTCAATCTCTCCTTGTTCAGTTTCCATCCATTATTCCTTGTCTGGCCTTCGGGTGCTTAGGAAAATATTTAGAAAAGGAGAGCACTTTAGGAAAGTGATGCTTCTGTTGACAGATAAAGGGTGTATAAAAAAAATTGAGCTTGCAAAGTTTGTGAGTTTCAATAGAAAGATATAAATGTCTTCCTTTTGCCTGCATGGTATTTTCAATTGTTCTTAATTGTGGGGAGGGGTGTTTACCAATGTAGGACAATCATTCACACATGTGGATTGCGTAGGTTTGTGCTGCTGTTTCAAAATCAATTGCCTCTGAGAATCATTTTTTCTTGCAGCAGATAAACATAGCTGCGCTTTGATATGTCTCAGGCAACAGAGGACTGGAGAGCAGCAGGATAATACAGCTGGGTAAAAACAGGAAGAAATGTTGCTTGGATGAGATTTGAGAATGGAAGTTAGTTTTAGTTCTGAGGAGCCATGGATAGATTGTAGGATGCAAAAGAATAATGGAAGGGACAAGAGGAAGCAAAGAACTGAACTTTGGGAGGATGTTTAACCTACTGCGAGTTTGGGCAAGGGCATATAGCCAAGGAATTGCAATTTATGCAACTACATAGAACTTTAAGGAAAAACTTTCATATGATGTAGTACACTGGGTGTACATGCAGGGCGGCTAGAAATATACCATAAAAAATAGGGTTGTATGAGTTTTTTTAATCCACATTACTAATGAAAATCTTCCGTGGCCGGCATTGCTGTTGGACCACATGTTAGAAATGAATTGAAATTTGCTATAATAAGTTGTCCTTCTGAACCAGAGGAAGAACGTACGTTTCCAACAGAATTCACACACTGAGAGACCTCTGTGAACTGTTTCCAAAGATCTAAACCTTAGGTGCTGGTTTCTTGGGAACTGCTGAATTACTGTCCTTGCTTATTATCATTTCAAAATATATCTTTTTAATATTCTTTGAAATTAGCTCTCCTGAAAAAAGAATCAATTGCAAAGTTTTAGAATTTAAGCAAAACAAGCATGTCATTTGTGATCCACTTTGGTAAATATACATACATAAGAAGGTTGTCATTGTTTCAGCATTAATTGATGAGCTGAGAAGAAATCCATGTCCATTGGAGGAAGTAAGAAACAATTTTGATTGCTGTGGCTGTAGTGACTGCATGAGAATGAAAAAGGGCCATATGTGTGACAGTGGAAGAAGCCAGTCAACATTTGGAGAAGGCAGCATGACATACACCAAGGAACAGTTACTTGGAGTTCAAAGGTAAATAGGAACTTGCCTAACTAGAATATATTCATACTTATTAGACCTGCAGCCCGTTTAAATAATAAATTTATAAAATAAATCTCTATATTTTCCAATCTGGTGCCCACCAAATAGGTTGAGCTGTGTGTCCTATTATCTAGGCATTGTTAAATTAAATAAATCTAGGAGTTATGAAAATTATGGAGCAAGACATTTGGAGAGCTCCTGATTTGGGAAGTTCTGTTCACTCTGGGCATGTTATTTTGTGGACACAGAATTTCAATTAATTAATGCATTACTGACTTCAGATAATGGCTTACCAAAGAAATGAAATCCTCTGTTTCATTTGGAATGGGGCCATCCATATCTTATATATTGTACAGCAGCTATGCCAGTTTTGAATAACATGGGGATACCATGAAATACTAAAAAGATCTCACATATTTAGAAGAAGTCTCAGTAGAATAGTAGTTGCCCTGTTCTGAATGTGAGATTACAATTGGCTCAGTAACCGCAGAAATATAGCTTGCTTAATTATGCCAGAAGTTGCTAGACGATCCAAGAAGCATAGGACAAGCGTTCTCGCTCAAACTTCTGTAGGGTCAGAGGCTTTTGTCAGAATTATGAAAGCAGTGTTGTGACCCAAACTCTGCCCATTACATGTGTGACAATGTATGTACAAAAGCAGTGGACCTGGCATTACAATAGTGCAACACAGGTTTCATCTTTTGAAACCCCATCTTGCTTCTCATTGTGGGTGCTCGCTTCTTAAATTCTCGAAGTGTAACTTGAACTGCACTCTATGGCCAAGAGCAGCTGAAACCCTTTCTATCAGTGAAGCAAATCTGCAAAGTTTAACAACATTAGAAAAGCACCTTACTGGATTGGAAGGTATGTTTCAGTATTAATAAGAAGAATCTGTAGGTTGTATTTGGGGAAAAGTTACAAAATTAAAGAATTGTGCTTATTTTGCAGAATAAAGGAGAGTAAGAATTACTATGAAATTCTAGGCGTAGAAAGAGACGCGAAAGATGAAGAACTAAAGAAAGCTTACCGGAAACTTGCCCTTAAATTTCATCCTGACAAGAATTGTGCTCCGGGAGCAACGGATGCATTCAAAGGTAGATGGAACAACTTGAAAGGGACCAGAGCAAAATTTGAAGATCTTCCAATGCTGTGTTGGCTAACAGGAAGGGATTTTTAGAACATGTTCCTACATACAATTGTAGCATTGCATAATTCTAACTGAAACACTAAGAAAGATTCTAACGTCGCCACCTCTTTAGGTGTTACTTGCATATTCCTCATATGTATTTCTTTGTAAGCATTTGACGTCAGTGATTGATATAACTTGTCAGGTTAACTCTGAATCCTAATCTAGAACATGTGATTTGAAATTCCATATTTGTGTTGCCATTGGACACTAAAGTTGGCTGTGCAGACCATGCATAATTAAGAGAACAGTAAAAGCAAGCACTGTATTGGGATCTCATTCCAAGGAGAATGTGTATCAAGTACAATAATCGTTACCACCAGGAAGGATGTGAAATGAATGCAGTCTGTCTCATTTAAAAGTCATTCCAGTATGAGAGATGAACTTTTTTAAATGCAAGTTGGCTTGTAAAGACTCTGGTCTAATTCCAATTGTGTTTGTTCAATATTGTGCTAAAAACCAATTTTCAGAAAGAGTTAATTTCCTATTTTCATTTTGTATTAAGATACATACATACATACATACATACATACATACATACATACCATGAACAATGTGGCTTCTGGGTATTAATTTTGATATCAAATAATAATAAAATTGACAATTTTGATGACCCTACATTAATCAAACTCACATCATTCTAATAACGTTGTACATAATACAATCATCTTTCAACTTCTTTCATCTACCTACTGATTTTGACATGTTATATCATGATATTCAGTTGTATTTCCCCCTTTCTGATTTCTACCTCTATTTCGTATCTTGGTAACACCAATCTTATGTTAGTAGTTATTCTATTTCTATCCTTCATCTCTTATCCATTTCAATTGTATTAATTACATTAGTCATACTCATATCATTAGCATAACCTTATAAATATGCAATTAAAGTTGTTAACATTGTAATATTTGCTCCATCTTGTGTATAATCCCTCATCATTTAGTTATTCAGTATTTTATTACTCAATGCTAATAGCCATGATAACCTTAATATTATTTAAAAGTAATACAATCATCTTTTAGCTTCTGATCCTTCCCTCTATATATTAATTTTAAAACATTATATAAGAATATACATAACAATATTTCCCTGTTTCTAATTCCTACCTCTATTCTAAATCTTGATAGCACATATCTTATATTGGTGGATATTCTGTTTCTATCTATCTATCATCTTTCATTCATTTTAGTATGTCATTTCTTACTGATTTTTTGGCATCCTTCCATACTCCTTTACATTCTTATTTTCTAACATCAGACTGGAAATAATAGTTGGGTATTAATAACAGTAGGCCTTGCCTATAGAGGAGTTCATGTCATGCTAGAGTAAAATGTTTATGAGAACTAGAAAGGGTCATATCTAAGACACTTCCTCAAACTACATTTCTGTCCAAGACTCAGATTTTTTTAATCATTGACTTGGTTATCTTTCCCCTGTTCTTCCAGGTTATTTCTTCTACCATTACGATTTCCTAATATTCAGATAATAGAATACAAACATTAGACATTTCTTCTGGATGTGGAACAAAAAAGATGTTTTGTTGGAGTTACTTCTATAATACGGCTATGTATTTCATCAGACTTGGTTTCTTTTTTTGATTGGTTTTCTTTATTTTTCTCTTCCACTCTACAGCAATAGGCACAGCTTTTGCCGTTCTGAGCAACCCTGAAAAGAGATTACAGTATGATCAGTTTGGAGAAAAGGAAGATACTTTTTATACCAACATGCCCAACCACTATAACTATTACAGAGAATTTGAAGCAGATATAACACCGGAGGAAATATTTAATATGTTTTTTGGAGGGAATTTTCCAACAGGTATGTTGTTGTTTTTTAAAGCCATGCTTTAAAGTGCAATGAAAGGCACTGTTCAGTCACCTGTACAAGCCTTTGTCCCCTGCTTCATGGGGCCTTTAATTGCTGATGAAGCTCCAGATGCGGTTCTGATGACTATTTGAAGTTTCCAAAGAACTTCAGAAACCAATTTGCTATATTTTCTTACAAAGTGCTGTGTATATGTCTACTCAACTATTTCAACTAGACCATGACATTGCACTATAGATCTGTAGGGTAGGAAATATAAAATAGTTTTTCTCAATTCTTTAGGCTGTTCCTACTCTTAATACTACAGTAAGTTTTCTACAATAGCATTGCCTTCCTTTTTTACCTTAGTAAGACCAAGACGACAGTTGAATATTTGATCCTAAGTTCCACATGTAAAATTCTCCTTAGATGTTCCCAGTACTAAAACATGCAGCTCCTTGAAAGTCCATTCAGGACAATGAAAAGTGAAATGGGGAAGTTCTCTTTTTTTTTTAATGGACTGAAAGAGCTCTTGTATTTATTTTAAAAATGCATGTTTGAAATTAGCAATTTAAAAATAAAATGAAATCTTAATTTCTTATGACACAAGCAATACGGGATAAAAATTGCACCTTTGTTCTACTGCTATTTCAACAGGAAATATACATATGTTTTCCAATTCTTCAATGGACCCCCCATGTTATCCACAGCGGAACAGACATGAAAGGACATGGGCCCAGGATGAACAGGAAGAAGAAATTAGACCACAGGTACATGGAGAAGGGAAGACATTACAATCATACCTAAACAGCGCTGATTTATTGCCTATCCAGAGAAAAGGGAGCTTGGGGATTTTTTTGAAGTAGTAAATATTGGAACTATTTTAAAGTGAAGTGATATTTATGAATCTTAGAAGGATCTTAATTGTAACTTGCCTTTTTAAGAAAGATTTTGAAAGCATTTGCAGATTTATAGCCTTATATAAATGTGACTACAAATTCCAATGAACTGCATGTTTCCTTTGGAGGGCCTTTTTTAAATTGATTCAGAGATATAAAATTAGTAGGTGGACGAAGGAATTAATCAAAGTTTAATACAGTTAATACAGTATATCACTGATGAGAAATGAACCGTAAAGGACAAAATCGGTTGAATTATTTTTACAACATGAGAAGTAATTTAATTCTCTAAGCTGATTAACAAAATCTTAGCTGTTTTGTTATAAATGGGGCATATTTAGTTTCTAACTTCTCCTTTGTTACATTCTGACTAAATAACAAGCTGTCCTTTGCAAAGCACATTGATCAATTCTGTCATGCAGTGATAATGTACCTTCCATTGAATTAATTAATCAGACTAAATTCTAAATGGTTCTGCTTCTCAGATCTCCAGTTTTTATTCTTTCTTCTAAAGAAAACTGGAGCTAGAACAGGAACTAATTGTAAGCCTAGTACCAAATCTACCAAATCAAACCTCTATCAAACTTTCTGGAACACATTTAAAAAGTACAAGGCAGAAGGAGAAAATGGTAATAATGGAATAATAGGTGCCTTGGATACAATTCTAAACATCTGGAGCACCACTTGAATACCATTGGCATTGACCAAATAACCATCAATCAATTGCAAAAGGCGGCTTTACTTGAAACAGTTTGACATTTAATAGTCTTAAATAGCCTATCCTTGGTCCTTGGGAAGGACTTGACAGGCAGACAAAAATGCCAAATCCTGTCTAAACATCTAGTTGACCAGCCACAATAAAACTTATATGCTGCTCAACTCTTTATGACTCTGTAGATAACTATTTCATTTTATCTATTTATCATTGTCAAAAAACTAGAAATCCAGACTGACCCCCACCAGGAGCCATCAAATTTACTTGCATCCACAAACAAAACAAGCCTCCCAAAATTGAAAACCACAAGAGATTTTTGGGCATAAGATTAAATATTAATGTTTATGTTACGTTTTTTGCCAATACTTTTGTTCTAAATTAAAATGAAGCACCCTATCTGGGATGGTTCTGTTACCATTGCGGTTTCCATTTTCACCATATATTTCTTACATGCTTTACTAACCATAGTTTTCATTTTCAGAATACCTACTCAGCATTTATCCAGTTACTGCCAGTCTTTATTATAATACTTGTATCAGTAGTAACTCAGCTGATGGCTACTAATCCACCCTACAGCCTCTTCTTTAAATCGTAAGTCTAGATCTGTTTCTTTCTGCTCTTGGGAGAGTAGAGGTACTTCTTGACACTAACTTTCCAACACCAGGTTTAATCTTGGTGCTCAAAGAGGCCTCTTACTTCATTATATATAAATAGCAGTTAATTTGAAAAGCTTCTTATCTTGGAAAAGGCATACCTATAGGCTATACATTCCAAGTTAAAAGCTTTTTGAAGAGAGACCGTAATAATTTCCGTGCTGCAAATTATTTGAGGAATAGGACACTAAACCTATAAACGTTGCTCTATAGAAAGCAATTTTGTTTTCATTAAAAGTGTGAGTATTTTCTTTTTTTTTCTTTTATTATCCGAATACATCACATTAAGTTCCACAATGTCTTCACAGAAATCCATTTTCAGCTTAAATATTTTAATGACAAGGGATGGAGAGGAAATGATCAAATAGTTTTTTATGGTTTTTGTACCAGGCAATTTTAAACAAAAACTAAACAGAAAAAAATGCCAGTCTTACTTTGTAAGTATCCACTTTAAATAGAATGTTTTTTTAAAAAAACAGTATCAAAGATTATATGGCAATTTAGGGATCTTGGGGGTTGTAATCTCAATATATCACAAGGACCCAGGTTTATGGAAGGTTGCTTCATTGCCTATGAAATGTGGTTAGCTGTTATCAGTTACATTTAAAGCAAATAAAAAATGGACTAAACAGAGGCTGGAATTCAGACATTTACTATCTACGATATTAATATCTTTTAAATGATACAGGTCCAGGGCACCTGTAGGAATGCTTCCTTCCATATGGTGCTGCATCCTTCCTTCCCTGTGTGTAATTCTGCCTGGAATTACAGTTGTAAATCATGCCAATTGTTAAATGGATCACTGGGTGCCTAATTTTAGGATCTTTTTCACAGTGGTCATTAACTGAATGTAGCAGTCAATAAGCCAATCCATTTTCTGTAATGGGCTTTTGGGGGTGGGGGCAGAAACCTGGAAGTAAATACTGGTTTCTGGCCAAATAATGTTGTAAAATTACAGTCATGTGACAGCAGCATATGCTGCAGACAGGTATAAATGGGCCAAATTTCTGAGCAACCAAAATGCAATTGTGGCTGGTGTGTGTGTGAGTGAGATAGCTGTAAGAATTTTGAATCCGGGTTGTAAGTAATCATAGGGAGGTCTTTTGGAACTTTGAATGGTCATTAAGCAACTGGTCGTAAATCAAGGACTACCTGTATTTTCTTTAGAACAGACTTAATGGGGACAAATTTTAGAATCTTCTAAGCAGTTGCCCCAATCTTTGCAGAATCCATTTCCTGGTATTTTTAGTAATTTTTACAATGGTAGGATTTTAAAGTGTTGTATGCCTTTCTGAATTAGGCACAAAGCCAGGGTAGACAATTTTTAAAGGAAAGTTATTACAAATAAAATAACAAAGAGATTTAGCGTGCTAAATCATATTAGTACTCTTACAAAGGCATAATGTTGCATCTTCTCATAATTTCTTTACATGTTCTAGATTGTATGCCTATACCTTTCAGAAATGAGATAATGAAGTTTTTTTAAAAAAAACCTTATGATATTTAATTACTGGAAAACTGAAAAATCTGTAATTCTTGTGGGTAGTATTTCAAAGCCTTTATGTTGTGTAAGCCATGACATAAGGGGAGGATTCCGAACTTTATAGGATTATATAAATGGATTAGAACAAAACAATACATTTTATTATGGTAACAGAGTCAAAGCTTCTCCTTCACTGAGGTGTTGGAGCTGCAGGTCAACTAGTCCTGCTTTGTCTTCAAGTCGCATCAGGTAAATACAAACAGTAGCTTCTTCCGTTTAAAAAGATGTTTTCATAGAAATTTCATAGAATAACAGAGTTGGAAGGGACCTTGGAGGTTGTCTAGTCCAACCCCCTGCTTCAGCAGGAGAGTCTATTCCAATTATTAGCCTCTACCTAGGATTGGACTCACAGCCTCCTGATCGTGAGGCAAGAGCTCCACTTCTAGGCCACCGGAGCTGTTTTTTTTTTTTAAATGGAAAACTTGCAGTTTGTTTTAAGGAGTTAGTGGTTTTTCTTTCTGGCTACTTGATGCTTAATGTAGCGCTCCTGATCACTTTACAGGACACAGCTGTTTTAAAATAAACCTGAAAGAAGAGTTTGGAACCATCTGGAAGACAGGGTGTCAGGCCTGGTTATTATCAGCCATCCTCTGCCTCTGCTAGGACATGTCAGTGATTCCCCTTGCTCGCTTTCAGAGAGCAGGAAATGTTAAACAGAAGAATTAATTGGGGGAAAAAGACATTTCGGGTTTGCAATTAAGACATTAATCTATTTCCTTATTCCCTACTACAGGTCTCTAGGGCACACTGTTGTTAGAGAAACACAAAACCTGCAGGTGCCTTATTACGTGGATAAAAACTTTGAAAATAATTATCATGGAGAAGAACTTGAAGAACTTGAAAAACATATTGAGAAAGATTATATTGACTATGTCCAAACTAGTTGCAGGAAAGAAAAACAACAAAGTAAGTTCTTTTCCAAGCATCCTGCGTTGTTTTCAAATTTAGGTTGAAAAAAACCTCAGAAAGAATCAGCTATAGCCGGCTCTGCTGCCAAGAAAACTATTGTTTAGTAGTGATATAAAGCAAAAATAATAGATAATTCACTCTTTGCCATTGCCTACTGACAACATGAAATCTATGTATTTGATGTTAAGGGTTTGTCTTAATATAATATTTGTCTAAATATTTGTTTATGGTTTTGATACCCCAGCTGTATCAAAAGATTTCTCTAATCACTCAGTTTTACTGGATGCTGTTCTGCCAGTTGTATCTAAGAATTATATTCACGTCTAACTTCCTGTGTGTAAGTAGCTTTACATTTTGACCAAGCCAATGTGAGTCAGAATTTGAAATGTATATAAAATGTGAACTATTATTTCCCCCCCACCCACCCCCAAAAAACCATGACTGAAATATACATTTCATCTTTCAGAATCAGAGTTATCTAATTTGGCCAAGCTATATCGAGATGAGCGACTGAAACAGAAAGCTGAATCCATAAAACTTGAGAACTGTGAAAAGCTGTCCAACCTCATAGGGATTCAAAGGAGTCACCAATTGGCCGAGGTGTGAGAGAACAACGCTGTTCTGTGGGCAGGAATTGGACTCTCTGTTATAATGAAGAGGAAAGGCGTAATGAGAGAAAAGCATCCCATACAAACCACACACGGAATCATTATGTTCATGGAAACTGTATATGGACTGAGACATAAAGGCAGCCCTTACTGTAGTGTATACAGTACATTTCGTTTCAAGAGTTATTTCAGTGTTAGTGATTCTTCATTTGCCTTCATTTTGTTATAGTCTTCATGTTGATACTTTGCCGCTGTTTAAGTGCCAATTGGGTGCTTTACAGGGTTATAGCCATCATGCTTACTGAGCCTATGGTTTGTCAACTTTTATCTTGCAAGACATCATAGTTAGAAGAGAAAAAGATGGCATTAGTCTTTCATGTATGTATGTAGGTGTATATAGATACATACAGAGGCAGTGCGGATAGATTCATGCACAGACATATATGCTGTACAAAACACGTGCAGTTCAGTTTCAAGAGAACTTCACAGAGCAGTGTCTTAAGGATATATACTGTGTTACGTTGCAATAAATAAAGCACTTGGAAAAGCTGAAGTGCTGCCTGAAGATTCATCATCTATAAACAATATGAAAAAACAGGGAGACAAGACAAAGCAGGAACTGGAACATTAATTGCTTTTCTGGCCAATGGATGAAGATGGATTAGTATTCCGGTTGCAAGATGAGACTTGTAATCAAAGAAAGAAAACAGCCTTAGGTCTCTAGAGCATGCTATAAAAATATATTCTGAGAGAAGCCAAACCAGGTGTCCTCACGGACGTCAGAATGTGAGCTAAGTTCCAAATTTTGGCCTAGAGGAAAGTTCTAGGCAGGCCAAGGGAACTTATTTCCACGTAAGTAATAGAGCATTGGGATCTAGGTTACATTTCTGTAAGCCTAAGCTTTGCTATCAATGCAACTTAGGCTGGTTCCTTCCAGGTGAGTTGAGATATCATCTGATCCCTAAACTGAATGTGTGTGGAGGTGCCATCGAAGGAATATGTTATCATAGTACGGTGCTGGCATCCTGGGTGTTGAATGTTTTGTTTGGAGGGGGCATGCTAAAACCCAGTGCACAAATATTGGTAAATTCGTTTGCAAAGATCTTTTCCTTATGATATAAGCAAAATGGTTATAACTAGAACTACAGGAGAGGGTTCCAGCTGAAGCCTTATTGTTCTCTCAATATTGCCTGATTACAAAGCCTAGAGATAAAATCCATGTCTTTTTAGGGTCTGTTGGCAGGAAGCATTTGGCATAACTTTATTCTACCAATATTAATGGGTAGCCTTATCTCTTGGGCTGTGATAGCATAGCAGCTGCAGGGTTTGCTTTTTTGTTCTTCTTGTAAAACTTATGAACCCAGAGTCATCAATAATTCCCAACCAAAAGAAAATATACAATACAGGTAGTTCTCAACTTACGACAACCAAGCCCAAAATTTATGTTGCTAAGTGAGACATTTGTTAGATGAATTTTTCCCCTTTTTATGACTTTTCTTGAGACATTTGTTAAGTGAATCACTGCAGTTAAATTAGTAACACGGTTGTTAAGTGAATCTGGCTTCCCCATTGACTTTGCTTGTCAGAAGGTCGTAAAAGGATGACTCCAGGATGCTGCAACAGTCATAAATATGAGCCAGTTGCCAACAGGTGGCTTTCTACTGGTTCTGTCCACCTCTGTAGAACTGATAGTTCTGAAGAGTACCAGACATAGAACTGGTTCTATGTCTGATGAAGTTTATGCCCACCTGCCCACCCAGGCTCTTACCTGAGCTTTATTTCCTGATGTTTTTCAACTTCAGCTGCCGTGCGAGGCACAGCTGCAGTTAAAAAAGTAGGAAAAAAGGGCTTTTTGAAAGGCTGCTTCTCTGCACGCAGCATGCTGATGACGATTTACAGGCGCGCCCGCGCAACGTGCAGGGAAGCACATCGTAAATCACCGAACCTCATAAATGACCGAACTGGTAGTTAACTTTGTCGGATCCCACCCCTGGTTGCCAAGCATTCAAATCTTGATCATGTGAAACAAACGAAGTGTTAAAAAGTTCTGATATTTATGTATGTTACCACATACCCCTAAAGCATATTAAACTAACCAAATTATATTAAAGCAACCAAAATATCTCTACAATCCCCAAGGAATGTCACAAACCCTTAAGGTTTAGAAATTAAAAGTTGAAAAATTTGATGAGCCATGCCCTAAATTGGGAATGTGGCAACAGTCGTAAATGTGAAAAATGGTCATACGCCCCTTTTGTTGGTGCTGTTGGAACTTTGAACGGTCACTAAATGAACTGTTGTAAGTTGAGCCACTACCTGTAATCCTGTGAAATACCATTTGGAAAAAATAGCATTATATCAGGTGATTGTGTGGTTAAAGAATTTAATTATTAGATGAAGAGATAAATGTGGCCTAATCCTGTGCTGCATTGTAACATGACTACATAACTGAGTTTTATGAAATTCTGTACTTTCATCAAAGGCAATTAATAGGTATGCTTAAACAGTTTGTTCTATCACCTTGAGATCCATTGTTTATCTTTAATGTCACTCTCACAATTCACTTGACCCGCACATCCCAGTGTTGCATCCTTGCTGAAAGGTGCAGGCTTATACAATAAGAAATATTCTTAAGACACCTTTCAGGACTAAACAGTTCTCAAAGATGGTAACTGATATTAAAATTTGTTTTGAAAGACTTCATCAACTATGTTTTACAAACGTTTATATTGCAAACTGCAGGAAAACCAAGCTCCTGAATTTTGATATCCCAAATTAATTCTGTATTTTGTCATATGCCCATTTGGCAATAGGTAAATCTATAGCAGATTTTTTGCATAAACTAAAGGCATGGTTCAGCCTTTGTGAAATAGCTTCTTTTTAAATGTTGTTCAGATGTGCATGAGTTCTGAAAAAATATTTATTTTCACATCAAGCACCAATTGTTTATTTATTTATTTAAATCTTTAAGTTATTGGTGATATTTATTTCTCGGAATGTACATATATATTGGCAAAATGGTGATTACATGATAGCATTGAATCATTACTGTATAGTTCACTTTTTTCAGAAAATAGTTAGATGTGTAACATTCCAGAAGATTAATAAATAAGATGCTTTCCTTATTTAGAGAAAAATATTTCGTTAGAGCAATTTGTGAATTTGAAGTAAACAGTTTTCCATTAATTTGACCACATTCTGGGGTAATTTCAGTGCATCTGCTGTTGAAAATTTCACCCTTGAATTGAGAAACAAAATCTTGTGTGTTTATGGTGTGTGTTTTATTACACAAATCATTAAATGTAATGCTTTAAAAAGACACCTAGTGGCTCTATTGTATGAAAATTTTAAAAAAATGAAATAAAAGATATGAATATCGAAAGTCCCAGTAAGATTTGTTGCGCTTGGGGGGAGGCTGGATTACTGCAATCAAATCCTTACAAATGCTGATTTGTGAGTGATAAAACCTCTCATAGAGACATAAGGCGAAATCCAGAAGAAGAAAAAAGCATTAGCTACCTCTAACAGGGCAAAACATTGCCATCAAGCGGATACTATTAAGAAGCCAAAAGGAAGTGTTTATTCTGAATCCAAAAGATAATTCAGTTTGCCACAAACTAGGCAACCACACTTTCTCAAGAGCCATGTGGTTAGTTTATGGGTGTGTTTCAATGCCATAGTTGTGGGACTGCATAATAAAATCATGCTTCCTCATGCAGACCCAGGTTGTGAAGAGCTCAAAGGTGCAACGTTACTTGATGTTCATAAAGAATTTTGAAGAATGAGAAGGTAAAGCCAGACAAAGAAAATACAGGTAATTCTCAACTTACAATGGTTTGTTTAATGACCGAAGTTACAATGACACTGAAAAAAGTGACTTAGGACCGTTTTTCACACTTATAACCTTTGCCCAAGGTCCTCTAATCAAAATTCAGAGGCCTGGCAACTGACTTGTATTTACGATGGTTGCCCTGTGCCAGGGTCATGTGATTCCCTTTTGCGACCTCCAGAAAAGCCAAGTCAATGGGGAAAGTGGATTCACTTAACAACGGTGTTACTAATTGAACAACTGCAGTGATTCATTTAACAAATGAGGCAAGAAAGGTCGTAAAATGAGACCAAACTCAATAAACATCACTTGACAACTGAAATGTTGGGCTCAATTGTGGGCGTTAAATTGAGGGTGACCTGAAGCAGTCGAGGCGAGAAATGAAATACAGGTACTCCTCGAGTTACGATCACAATTCAGCCCAAAATTTATGTTGCTAAGTGAAACATAGGTTAAGTGAGTTTGTCTCATTTTACGACTTTTGCCACATTTGTTAAGTGAATTATTGCAGCTGTTAAATTAGTAACATGGTTGTTAAGTGAATCTGGTTTCCTCATTGACTTTGCTTGTCAGAAAGTCGCAAAAGGGGATCACATGCCCCCAGGACACTGCGACTGTCATAAATGTGAATCAGTTGTCAAGCATCCAAATATAAATCAGGTGACCATGGGGATGCTGCAAGGGTCATCAATGTGAAAAATGGCCCCAAGTCACTTTTTTTCAGTGACATTGTAACTTGGAACAATCACTAAGCAAACTGTTGTCAGTCGAGGACTACCTTGCCCAGCAAAGAAAGAAACAACCCAACTTTGACCCAAAGATCCAGTGTTGTCGAGATGAGAAGTGAAACATCTTCAAAGAAAAACCAGAAAGTCCAGTTGCCCCTTGGAAAAAAAAGCACCTTCGGGACAACCATGACCTGGATGAGTGAGAATCTACAAAGGCCTGACAATAGAATTTGGAATGGAATGGAATGGAATGGAATGGAATGGAATGGAGTAGAGTAGAGTAGAGTAGAGTAGAGTAGAGTAGAGTAGAGTAGAGTAGAATAGAATAGAATAGAATAGAATAGAATAGAATAGAATAGAATAGAATAGAATAGCTGGAAGGGACCTTGGAGGTCTTCTAGTCCAGTCCCCTGCTCATGCTGGGGAACCTATACCAGTCTTCCACAACCTTTTATCTCCAGACTTATTATTTTCTGCAATGAATTAACACTTGATTGGCCTTGTGTCTCCTCAATGTGCAGTTAGGACAGTTTTACAACTTCCTCTGTTTATGTCACAGGAAAGTTCTACAGTATACATATATATACAAACGGACTTTTTTCCGAACGAAGTAACAGTCTTTGCAGCGCTTCTTGATGGTAGTGCGCTACCTTGCACTACCATTTGCAGCCTGCCAGCAACAGGCTGCAAATGGTAATGTGGGCAGCATGAAAGAAAAAGGCCAAAGCTGTGCTTGGTAGCAGGTGGGACAAGCAAAGGAGTGACAGTGACACCATTTGAGCATCTCAGGAACCAGGAAGAAAATGAGCAGGAGGTCTTTCTTTCTTTCTTTCTTTCTTTCTTTCTTTCTTTCTTTCTTTCTTTCTTTCTTTCTTTCTTTCTTTCTTTCTTTCTTTCTTTCTTTCTTTCTTTCTTTCTTCCTTCCTTCCTTCCTTCCTTCCTTCCTTCCTTCCTTCCTTTCTTTTTCTTTATTTCTTTCGCCTTCCAAATCCAGAGGTACTGGTAGCATTAAGGCGGCAGTGTGTGGTGCAAACCCAGGCCTTTGACTTGGGCCTACAGGGCCATCCTTCAGCCACCAAGCAGGCGATACTCAACTAAACACAAATAGCAGGGGCAACTGCTGTGTATTAGCTTTCCTAACCTTTCATTCTCCACTATCCTGTCAGAGCTGAAGAAACTTCTTGGATGAGAAGTGAAATGTCTTCAAAAGGAGAAGAAGAAAAAAAACCCCAGAAAGTCCAGTTGCCTCCTGAAAAAGCACCTTTGGGGCAAGCATGACCTGGATGACTGAGAATCTCTATAGACTTTTAGCTATACAATTTTGGGCTGAACACCGTTGGAATTGGTGCGGGAGTAGGAATGGAGTCCCTGAGGGGAAAAAAAAATTGCAGACTACAGTACCCAGGAGCACTAGGTACTCAGATCACCCTGAGGACACAGGGTCACTCCAAGGGCTTCAAAGACCCCTAAAAAGAATGCAAATGACCAGCTGCTGCCTGCAAGGTATATCATATAAATGCTTCCATTCCCCCACCATCCAGTCAGAGCTGAAGAAGCTTCTTGGATGAGAAGCGAAACGTCTTCAAAGAAAAAAAAAACAAGGAAGTCCAGTTGCCTCCTGGTGGGGGAAGCACCTTTGGGACACCTTTTCTGTGGTAAACTAAGCAAAGCGGCGCGATACACCTGGCTCAAACTCGGCCCCTCCCTTTAGGATAGAGAAGAGTTCCATTTTCGAACGGAGAGGAGGAGCTTCGTGCCTATTCAGCCAATAGCGGCTCCCTCGCGAGTGGATTCAAAAAAGCGGGAGTCGCCCCGCCTCTCCCGGTTATTTCCCTTGATGTGTTTCTTTTATCCGGCAGCGGGATCGGGCACAGCGTCGCACGGGAGTTTTAGCCGTAGGGACGGCTCTGCGACCCCCGAGGCGCCGGGGTCCGAACTTGGATTGGCCGGAGTAGGAAGAAGCCGGCTTTCTATGGCGTCGTCATCAGCGGCAGCCCAACAGTTGAGAGATCTGATCGAGATCCAGGAGGCTTTACTGGATAAACTGAGACTAAAGGTTGGGCTGGAGAGGGCGGGGGGGGGGGAAGGGAGGGCGTTGGAAGAGACCCCCTGGTCTTCGTGTTGGGCAGCTGCCCTCAAGCGCTGAACTCAGAAGTTTGGGGCTTTTAGTCCTGCATGCTTGAAAATATTGCCCAAGCAGCAGCTGAAAGTGTCTTTGGTCTGGCCAAGAAAGGGGCGGGAAGCCCTAACCCTAACCCTAACCTAACCCTAACCTGCTGAATACCACCTCTAACCCTACACCCTAACCCTACACTAACCCTAACCCAAACCGATGCTAACCCTAACCCTCTCTAACCAACGCTAACCCTAAACCTAACCCTA